TCCCCAGTGAATCCCTTAGCACACCACCAAATCCCACAGGACCCGGATTTCCTAACGAACTGCCATCGAAATTTAGCTTGAAGACCCCAAAGACCGAGGCCACCCATCTTCCTTTTGGTCTGCACTTTAAAAAACCCAGCTGTAACAAAAGCTTTAAATTTCTCCTAACGTCCAATTTCGAAATATCTTAGTCAACTTTGGTAATCGAAAGATATCGCCAAATAGCATGCAAAATCTTTTCCCATATTATCTCAAAGGCCAAGCTAATCTCATCAAACACTATTTTATTCTTCTCTTTCCAGATTTCCCATAAAATTACGCCTCTAGTGATTTGTCAAATAATCACGCCAATCCGAGGTAAGCATATCGTCAAATTTTGTAAAATACCTACTTGGCGGCATTACCATCGTAATCCCAATCAGGTCAAAGAACCTACTCCAAATGCGATAAGTAAAAGAACAATGCAGAAAAAAGTGATCTCCAGATTCCCCATCCTCCTAACACAGAAGGCATACATTTGGCAATATTTTCCCTCTCTTGATAAGATTATCTACCGTCAGCACCTTCTTTTGAACAGCCAGCCATAAAAAACCTTGTACCGTAAGAGGTAAGGACCACCTCCAAACGATGGCAAATTCAGACCTAGACCACCGCCACCTATCGTGGAAGAGCAATTGGTACATAGACTTCAACGAATAATCCCCATCCTTATCGATCTCCCAAACGACCTCATCCATAGCATTATGACGGGTATAAACATCATCCAGTAATCTGAGCAAATCAAAGAGTTCATAAAAGAGAGCATCGAGAATTCTATTATAAGGAAGGTTGATCTTCTAAAGAATATGATCACCCCTATGCTCATAGAAGTCAGAGAATACATCATTAAGGTTAGCCATTCTTTGATAAATCAAAGAAAAAAACTAGTTTCAAAAGAGCATCCCCCCAACCACTTATGATGCTAAAATGAAATATTGGTGCCATTGTCAACGGTCCAACGAATGTCTCTATGAATCAAGGCTTTACAATTATAAATCGATCTCCAGCATGAAGACATTCCCCTAACCCTATTTCTTGTACCCACCCACATACCAAATATGTCCTCTCCATACTTCGAAGCAATAATTTTGTACTAGAGATGATCTTTGCAAGTTAAACTCCTCCACCACCATTTACAGAGCAAGGCTTGATTAACAGCAATAATTTTCCTAACCCCAAGACCAACCTCCCTTTTGGGCATGTACACTCTATCCCATCGAAGAAGATGGAATTTCCTCGTCTCCGTAGAGGACCCCCATAGAAAGTTCATCATCATCAATTCAATTCTCCTAGCCACCTAAGAAGGGATCTGTAGGATTGACATTTGATATATAGGTAAGTTCAATAAACATGTCTTAATCAGAGTAATCCTACCCCCAAAAGAGAGATACTTAAACTTCCACAAGTCAAGCTTCACTTGGATTCGTTGAAGACTTTTGTCCCATACTGCAATTGGTAGTCGGCCCTCCGAGATTGGCATTCCCAAATACATGATCGGAAACTTCTCTACCTTGCACCCTAGAACCTGTGTCATTGAACTTATCACTTCATCACTGCAATTTAAGCCAACAACTGTTGTTTTCCCAAAGTTAACCTTAAGTCCTAAGGCAACTTCATAGCATCTTAAGAAAGTTGCAATATTGCTAACCTGAGCAATATGAGCTTCATAGAATAACAGTGTGTCATCAGCATATTGCAAGTGGGAAATACAAGGTTCTCCGTTAGGCAGCTGAAAACCCGAAAAATATCCACTCTTTGCAACATTAGACAACATTAAACTGAAACATTCAGCATAAAGAGTGAAGAGGAAATGAGAGAGAGAGGGTCACCTTGGCGAAGACCCCGAGTAGCCTTAAATAACCTAATCTGACTTCCTTTATGCAGAATAGAAAAATGGGTTGAAGATAGGCATCCAAAGATCCATTGTCTCCACTTATTGCTAAAACCCATGTTCTTTATTATCTCTAATGGAATATTCCACTCCACCCTATATATTCTTCATTATCTCTAATGGAATATTCCACTCTACCTTATTATAAGTCTTTTCCATCAACCAGTCCAGGGCCTCTACAAAGAATTTGTGAATGGATACACTCTTGTAACTTGGTATTGGCCCAACCTTTTTCCCCATAGGGCCAATAAATCAAGAAAATAAAAGAAACAAGGTAAAAAATAGGGTCGGGCCAAGCCAAGCAGGGCTGAACCAGATTGGCATTGGACCTAGCCAAACTATCAGGCCAAAATTTGTGGCCCAGACTCTACATTTTTAGGTCCAAGGCGACCGGATATTGCCAACCCTAAATCCTATAGATAAAACCCCATGAATGACTACCATTAAGATACCAAAATTTGTGGATAAAAGCTTGTGACTTTATATGTGGGTGAAAAGCTAAGATTATGGTATTGATAATTGAAAAGAGATCGGTCGATATTTCGAGAGTCAAATCTAAGTTTGACTACTCTTTAATAGAGACCCTCCAATTTTTGGAAAGTGAGACATAATATAAGGCATTTAAGACTCAATTCTAATTTTTTTTAATTGGAAATCCTTGTACTAAAGTGGATCGTGAAAATTTGGACAGGACAAATGCTCCTTTATGGCTCTTCAGCTTCAGTCGTATATAGTGTGCTCCTGTAGGAGTACGGTATACACTATTGAAGTAAAAACAAGAAAAAGGTCATTAGGGGGCTTGAATTCCATTATAAAAGAGTCAAGGTAACCCATTTATTAATTTTAATGCGGGGTTTATTTATTAAAATTTCATAGAAGTAACAACTCAATAATTGGTTAAAAAATTCTCAAGTTACCCTATTGAAGAATATGAGTCATGATTAACTAAGGGCATTTTTTGTAATTTTGCGAGACTTGAGGGTGGTTATTTAGGGTTGGAAAAATGGAAGCCCAAAATGACCAAAATACCACTAGTTGTTAAAGTTAGCAACAACAAACTATAATTAAGTAGTTATGTGTAACCAATCCTAAACAATTAAACTTCCCCTTTTTATAATTTAGCTTGAGCCGCTATGTAATTCAGCTACCAAAATCCCTAAATTATTTAGGATTCCCAACGAGGGTGATTTGAGAGAATTGGAAAATTTATCAAAATATACTTAAGAGATCAACTATTAGTACTTTACTCATTTCTTTTTATTTCATTTCAAAATGCTCATCGAAATAAGATGATGGAGATCAACTATTTAGTATTTTACCCATTTCTTTGTATTTCATTTCAAAATGCTCGTCGAAATAAGATGATAAGTTTGAATAGTTGAAAATGGGTAAAATATTAAATAGTTAATATTATTGATATATTATGATAAACTCCATTGATAATTTTTGGATTAAAATTTTTTAAGTACTTTTGTGAAATGAAACTTAAAAGGTAAACCTTACAATGAGCTTTTAATGATTTTGTAAAACAATTTAATCCCTTTAATTATAGTTTAGAGAAAATTTATGCATATATGCCCTTAAATAAACGTTAATTAAAAAATACCCTCTAATATTATTTTATATATTTCCTTGATTTTGCTATTTTCCCAAAAGGATTGTGTACTATCAGACCATTTATCTTTAGTATAAATAAGTCACAATTAACCCTAGCTATTAGATGTCAAATTGAATGGCTTGAGATATATCACGAAGTTAAAAAAAAAAAATGTTAGGCTTTCAATTTAGTCACAAGTACACTTACAACCATTTCCTATGAAATTTGATAAACAAAAATAGTTACGGCCTCCTCTTTGTACTAAAAGTAAATGGTCTCTTTGTATACTTTTTCTTTCCGAAATTATGTATTTTCCTAACTTCAAGGTCCCAAATTTTTTTTTTCACCCAACACAAGATCTTTAAGGTCCCAAGTTGCAAAGATTTCAAGTTGAAAACAAAAAATTAACTTTAGTAATTTCAGACCTTGAAGAAATGAAGGTTTGGCGTTTTCGTCATTATCATCATCCTCCAAGCCTTATCTCAATTTTTGGAATCGGCTAAAGGTTTGAAGTTTTAAAGTAATAAAAAAAAGTTCACTAGCTTCGCTAACTTCATATCTTTAACGTCTAAAATAAACTCATGTTGAAAAAATAATTTTGGACCTCGAAGGTTTTGACCTTTTGAAGTTTGGACTTTCAAGGTTTGGAATTTAGAACTTTGGACTTCTCAAATTTTGGACCTTCAAGTTCAAAAACAGGCCGGATTTTTGGGGGAAAAAATCGAAAAATGGATCTGAAAGTAATATAGTTTGGAATGCAGATTTCTTAAAGTAGGATGAAGGTATATAGTATTGGAGGGGTAGTGAAGAATTTAGATGAGGCAATTATCTTTTGCTGGCGTTATGGAAGTGAGACAGCAAATAGAGTTGAAATGAGGGTATTTCTTCATGGTCTTATCGGAATTCTGAGCGGCTACAGTCTAGCTCTTGTAAAGTTGATAATGATTCCGCTAAGGAAAAGGTTTATATAAAGTCGACGCCTTAAATAATCAAATCAAATTTAAGGCGCACCTTAAAAATTTCATTAGAAATGGTCGTTTCAATGCTCAAAATCTTTAAATCGGTCATCTCGACCACAAGAGGCATGAACATGAGAACAAATAGATTTTAAGTCTTAAAAATAATATATCTTGTAGTACATTTTCGAACCATCAATTTTTAAGATTTTGAAGTATTCAATTTGACCTATATTATTTTTTAAGCTTTAAATTTTACAATAAGATAAAAAAAATTGAGGTCTTTACCAATATTTTCGGTATTGAAGGCATCTTTCTAACACTATTTAAAGGTCTACTTTACTTGACACTATTTAAGGGTCAACTTACTTTGATTGTTTAGAAACCACACCCTTCTGTTATTAGATTCCCTGTTAGTGGGATTTCATTTTGTAATCTTAAGATTATACTAATAAAATGAAGTAATATTATCAAATAAAATAAAATAAACGGCCCTGGCCATTTTAACGTGACGTGAATCATCGTCTCTCTTGTCAATGTCATCTTCAGTAAAGCCTTGAGCTTAGTTCTAGAGAGAGAAGCAGACTCAACCCTCGGCAACCTCACCTGTATAGCGAGTTGATCATCCAGAAAGGTTAGAGAGAGAGAGAGAGAGGCGTGGTACTGAAATGGACGAAAAAGGAGGTGGGAAATGCATTGGAGAAGTTGGGTTCAACGATATTGTGGGAACGGGGCTTCCTGTTGCAGAGGCTCTTTCCTTTTACCAGGTATTGAAAGATGCGATTGCAGAAGCAGGGGGCAGTGAGACAGAGGTGTGGAGGAAGCTTTCTACTCGTCTCCTCCGCCCTTCTCACTCCCACCAACTTCATCAGTTGCTCTACTACTCTGTTTACAGGCAATGGAATTCTTCGACTCGAGGACCTCCGCCTTATTGGTTCCCCACACTGTAAATACTTCTCTCTTTCTCTCTCATTTTTATGAACTGCATCAACTATTTGGGATTTACCAAACTTAACTCAGTGTTTAACTTTGAATTTATTCTTGAACATGGATTTATGGTCTTTGAGACATAATATAAATCTATCACATTTTGTGTCAATTGCTTGGAACAATTAGCATAAGAACAGAGAATTTAGTATGCAATTGTTGCTCTTCTCCTCTTCATATTGTAGTTTTATCAGATTTTGGAAACCCATGTTGATCGGTAGCGAGAAACTGTCTTTTTGTTGGGTTCATGTGGCCTTTAAAGGTCATATGAGTGTTTGTACAATGAAATGATAGAGTGGAACATAAACTTAATGTGGTCCCTCGTGGGCCATACTAAGCAAACGGTGTTTGTATATACCGGACTTTGCTTGACGATCTAGGCCAGTCGATTGGGAAAAAACCATGTTACCTAGGTATAAAGAACAAATCAAAAACCATGTTACCTAGGTATAAAGAACAAATCGATAAGGGTTCTAATGGGTTAGCTCTTGATGAGGTCGGAGAATATGCTCTGATGAGTGAGCCGAGGGACTGTGTGCCCTTCTGTGTGATGGTGGCCTACAGAGACGGGGGCCAAAGCCTCATCCATGTGCCATCACATGGCATGTATATCGTTAGATCGTTCAAGAAAGCCAAAAATTCACCTTTTATGGTAAAGCATATGTATGTGCGAGAGATACCCTTATGCACTATAGGAGCTGTGGTCACATCAGGTTTAGGTGACATTGACTCGTCTTTAGGGGAGGACCTGAAATCCACATACTGGGATTATGATCCCTTAGCTCATCGACCGGACTTTGGTGACCCGCTAATAAGCCTCTGCTTGGACTGTGGGTCATAGAAAACACTAGGTCGGTCTGATAAAGCAAGTGTGGTCTGTATTCCACAGTTGAAAGTAGAGTGCCCCATGATTGTTGATTTTTAAACGATATGGATCTTTTTCCTATCAAATTAATTTAATTGTATTTGTTTTATGATGGAAATTATTTTAAAATTATTATTTGAATTTTTATAAACCCCTGGATATTTTATTTATAATTTTTGGATTTATAAAAATAAAGATATTGATTTTATAATTGTTTAAATATTCAAATAATATTCTAAAATATTTTTATTAATTTTAAATATAAAAAAATATCATGGGGGGCCATTGTGCACATGGACGCGCCATATTTTTAGAAGGTGGGGCGCATGAGTGCCTCCCTTGGGTGGCACGCCCCACCCTTATTCTCTTTCCTATTTTTTTGGTGATATGGCATGTGGCCATATGGTTGGAAGATATTGACTTGATATATCTTTGAAAGAATTTGTGGAAAGATTGAGTAGATTTGTGCTATTTTATAGTATGCACAATATTTTGATTAGATTTAATTTATTTAATTTCTATTGATGAGAAAATAGTTTAGAAAAGGGGGATAATGGTTCATGCACCTTCCATAATGTTGATAGCCTATTTATGGAATGGATGGCTCAGATCTCTCATCCCACAAGTCACCTTTGATCGACGGTCTATATTCAATCTCACAAGAAGAGGCAAGCCAAAGAAAACCCTAAGAAACCCTAATCTTATTCAAACCTATAAAAAGATATTGTCTCTACCAAAAAATCTCTACACCTTATCTTTTTATCTCTCTCTTAAGAAAGTTTATCTCTCTCATGTTTGATCTCTCTCCCACATGGTAAAAGAACCTAAGGTTTAGGTTATAGAGTTCTTCTCTCCTATTTCTCAAATATGGATTTATGGATGAAAGAGAATTCATCTCTCTCAAACTAGGTTGCTAATAGAATTCACCTAGGGTTAGAGTTTGTGATAAAGGGGTTCATGTTCCATTGGTGTGGCTTGGCCGAAATTTGTTTTCTCGGTTCGAGATTGAAGCTAGACCATTGATCCTACGTCATCGGGTGGTGGTGACTCGGTGTGGGGTGTAATAAGCTCGGTTGAGGTAATCTCCGGCACTCGTCCTTTTGTTTCTTGCAATCTTATCTTTTATTCTCAAACATAGTGCATAGTTGTTTCAATGGCATCAAGTTGTTAAGATCTTGGTTTTATTGTTATGTTAATTTTATTTTGAAATTTATCTTATTATAATAAAGACCACATGTAAGTGATCTTTTGCCAAAAGAAAGGGGTGAAGAAAAAAAAAAAAAAATGTATTCCCTGGTAAAAGATCACATAGGTCTTTCATTCAGTTTTAGCCTGAATGTGTTCTTTTATTGAATTGTGAAGATATTTGAATGGTGCTTTATAATGATCATGGTAAGCATGAAACAATAAATTTTATGCTGGACTTATCTCACAAGTTACATATTTGAAGAGTCATTAAATAGCATAGTCTTTTGTCAAGCCCATGGATTTGTTCCTTCTATACTTAGCTTCCTGCATCCTTGATGCTTTTCATTCTCTTCCTATTCAGTAAATGGGTGATCGAATAAGACCATCATAGTATTAGCAGCGAAGGTATCATAGCGACCTTAGAAACCACGGGGACTATGATGCTGAAATAGCCTGATATCCATGGCATCCCTGCTTTAAGGTCTTTGTGTGTTTAAATAACGATAAATACAGGTGAAATGTTTTGTATTATTAACTTGTGACATTATTTGACTTGTGCCATAATGTCAACAGCAAGTTTACTTTACCCATACTCTATACATCCCCTGCCACCAGCCCCCTTGTTTGATGAGTGCTCAGAGCTGGTTCATAGCCTTGTAATTCGTTGCATGACCTTCAATTAGCAGTACTGTCTCCTTCATAGTTAGAACACTAGTAATTGCTCTGGCCTTATCTTCCAAATATGGGAACATAACCTCGGGACTAATACCTAGGATGTGAAACCAAACTAGATGAACTTGTTTGGCTGTAGTTTCTGAACATTATGCCTTTCCCTTGTATTAGGACTTAAGCAATGGGTGGAGGATTCTTAATCAGTTTATGAAGGATGCTACAAGATGCCGAAGAGACTCTTATCCAGCACTATTTGCATATGCTTCCAGTCAAAATTTCTTATTTGAATGTAAAATGCACTTCTTGATAATTCAGTTACCATGTGGTCATCCACCTTGATTTTTCAGTAGACTTACATCAATGACCATTGGCTTCTTGCCATTAACTTCCGCATATCTTTTGTCCCCCCACCATGTCTTTGTTGGCTTCCATTGATCTGTAATTGCAGCCTCCTCTAGTGGTGACATCAGCAAGATGACCAATGACTCTGCAGATGACCTCAGGTTTCAAATTGCCAATTCAAACTGTTAAGGAAAAAAATAAAATTGCTCACCACAAATACCAATGGAGATTGCTGGGATAAGTGTGATTTGGGAAAATGCATTAGGTTCTAATTGTTATAAACCGATATGATTTGGAATTTTCAAAAGAATGTGGCCATAGTTACCTACAAATAATTGATGTAACAAAATGTTACATTGTAATGTGTCTATAGTTACCTACAAATAATTGATGTAATAAAATGTTACATCGTATATTACCTGAGATGACAAGAGCCCAATGAAGGGCTGGACAAAATCTGTTGGGCACAGTAATGCACACAATGGCATAATTTTACACTGCACAATGGAACTATTATGGAATCTGGACAAGATTTTGAAAAAGGGTGATAAATTGATTCATGTCTAAAAATTCAGAATTTCAAATTTATTTACTTGGCCATCTTATCCTCTTTATTCCATGGAATAGCCATTGGAGAAGATGAACCCAGCTCTATATAGAACAACTTTATGTTCACTTTCTGTTGCAGTTCTCTGTGGTTTAGACTGCTTTACCATGCATGCGTGCAAATCACCATTAATTTGTTTTATATTTTACTTTGTAGACAGCTGGACTGTATACAATGTAATCACCCACTTCCTTTGAAATTTCTGAATTAGTTGCAACCATGGCCACTCTTGAATGCTATATAGCATGCACAGAAACGATTACTGGGATCCTAATTCCAGTATAACAATGCACCAACAACAACCTACTGTTTATGCTTAGGTTCTGCCAATAGATACACTGGAATGTTCACTGGCCAATTATTTTTGAAGCTTAGAATAGTTCTGATACTCTTGAACAAACCTGGATGGACATTAATCCTGGAGGGCAGCTTTTGCTTCTCTCTGTCTATTCTACCAGTCAATAGCCCATAAATTTGGACATTAAGACAAACCTGGCATTATAATTGAACTAATTTGTGCATTACAATGAACTTCTGAATATTCTCCTGTAATCGTCATGAACCAATTGATCAAGCTTACAGGTCATCTGCCAAAATGACAAAATTGGGGCGGATAATGGATACTCATGGGCCAAAACTTCTAGGACACTCATATTGTGATCCCATTACAAGTTATCATGAGTTTCACCAGTTCTCAGTCCATCATCCAGAGGTAAAGAAACAATCCATTTAATCATTTTGTTTCTTGTGTTCGTGGAGCCAAAAGACAGTTACTTTAGGGTTTTTACTTTAATGATAGTAGTAGATATCATCTTTCTAATAAAGGTATCTTCTGTGAGTTGTTTTTTCTATTGATGGTTATTTATTTTGTCAAATGTTTGACTGCAGATTTATTGGTCCATTGCTTTAAGAGAACTTTCACTCGCATTTCATAGAGATCCAGAGTGTATTCTCAATACTGGAGACAGATCAAGGCATGGGGGCATTTGGTTGCAAGGTTCTGTCCTGAATGTTGCTGAGTGTTGTCTCTTGCCAATGAAAAATCTGAACAAGCATGATGATAGTGTAGCTGTTTTATGGAGAGACGAGAATCTTGATGACTTCCCCATAAATCATATGACTTTGGGAGAACTGCGAGGTCAAGTAATGTAAGTTTGGACTATGGAATATGAAATGTTACAGTAGATATATAAGTTCAAATGCATTTAAAAGCGTCCCTGCTTCATTACAACTCTGAATTTCCACATGGTTATGTGCACCTTGAGATGCTTATCTTTCGTTTTACAGGAGGGTGGCAAATTCACTTGATGCCATGTTCTCCAAGGGTGATGCAATTGCCATAGATATGCCAATGACAGTAAATGCAGTTGTCATATACCTTGCAATTGTTCTAGCGGGATTTGTTGTCGTGTCCATTGCAGACAGTTTTGCAGCAAAGGAAATTTCAACACGCCTGCATGTGTCTAAAGCAAAGGGCATCTTCACACAGGTATTATTTTTCTAATGAGATTTTTTAAGTAATGGAACATAAAACACCATCTTGATCATATTCATTACTGTTCAAGCATGCAGTTACCAAGTCATTGTATCACAAAAGAGTTATAGGCAATGTGATTTTTCCAATTATTGTTTACACATGGCTGGTACTTAAGAAATCATTCGCTACTTGCCAATAAAAGAAATCTTTGATTACTTGGAGTCTTCCATTTTGTTGATTATGTTGCACATCTAGAATAGATTCTAGGGCGTCCACCTCGACTTTCACATCCATGTATCTGTAGATTTCCAGCATTAGCAGAAGGAAAAATTTATACAAAAAAATCCCAGAATTCTATAATATTAAGCTTAGATAATCTTTGCAGCTCAAAGGAAACAAGGGCTTTGATGAGTTTGAGTGCCGAAAATAATTGCATGGCACAATCTTGATCATTGTCAACCAGAGACATGGAAATTATGCAGCTGACAATATTTATTCTCATGAATCCCTTTTTCCAAATTGTACAGCTTGTGTAGCACTTGTAGAGATTTCTAGAATAACCATTAACAAATCTCCTGAGCATAGAAATCAATATTATTTTTGTACCTAGTGTTTGAAAATAGGTGTTGCATCATAGAGATGATCCAGCTTATATGTTTCTTATACCAGAGATAACAAGACGAGTCAATGCCAATATGATGATCGGATAGCTGTGGTTAACTTGCATGGATATTAATGAGACCCACGAAATCAAAGGCTATATGCTCAACACCCTTTACATAATTGTTTGCTCTCATGTATTCGGTGCTTGCTTTTGCTTGGAAATACTTTCAAATTTTAAAAATTCTATATTTTCACTTCATGTAGAGTCTTAAAAATTCTTGAATAATGCAACCTTGTCATTTTCTTTATGTGCTTTTCAGGACTATATCTTGAGGGGACAAAGGAAATTTCCCTTATATAGGTAAGAGCACCTTACAGAAGCAAAAACATTCTTCAAATGTTAACTTACCTTTTTCTTGTAATACTGTTCAAAGACTGGCTGTATACTGAATATATCAAAATAATCTCCACTATTGACATCAACATCGTACTTAGAAAAAACATATGATTGGAGCAGCTTTATTACCAATGAAGTTGAACTGCATTTGATGCACCGTATGGGCAAATTTGCATATTTAAATCAGTCTGTAGCTATGTAACTTAATCAGGCATTTAACCCCCTCAACTTTGCTTTTTCGTATTAATTGATAGTCGGGTCATGGAAGCTAGTCCCTGCAAGGCTATTGTAATTCCTGCTATGGGCAAGGAGGTGGACATTAAGTTGAGGGAGCAAGATATGACATGGCATAACTTTCTCTCTCTTGCCTGTCACTGTCCAAGGTATGTGATCTATGTGAGGTATTTGTGCAGTTTCTAATATTTTATTGAAGGCTCATAAGCAAAACTCATCTTCTTACCTCATATGCAATGACCGAAAGTTCTCTTTCAATCGACATATCTAAAGTTCTCTTTCAATCGACATATCTAGCCCAAAAATATTGCTTTTTCTTTAACCCCTTTGGATGTTCTTGTTTTAAAATCCCACCCAGAGTTCAAGCTCTTTGCCAAACTACTGATATAAACTTCTTATCTTGGCAGGCCAGATTATTATTCTCCAGTTTATAGTTCCATTGAATCTCTGACAAATATTCTTTTCTCATCGGGAACCACTGGTAACAAATATATCAATTTACTACTTCTAGTGTTGGTAAAATTATTACATTTTCATCAATTTCAGTTTGTGTGGTCCACTTTGCCTTGTACAGGGGAGCCAAAGGCTATTCCGTGGACACAGCTCTCTCCTATTAGATGCGCAGCCGATTCATGGGCGCATATTGATCTCCAATCAGGTGACATATTTTGCTGGCCAACAAATTTGGGATGGGTTATGGGTCCAATACTATTATACTCATGCTTTCTAAATGGTGCCACCCTTGCCCTCTACCATGGATCCCCTCTTGGCTTTGGCTTTTGCAAATTTATTCAGGTAGCGTTTAGCTTGAGCAGTACTTGTTTGGCCTTTTATATCTTGAAAACGTTACTTTTTCTATACTTCAGAAATTATTTAGGGCGCTTTTTCTCCTTAAATATTGTTAGGATGCGGGTGTCACTATACTGGGTACTGTGCCAAGTTTAGTGAAATTCTGGAAGAATACTCAATGCACAGAAGGCCTTGACTGGACAAAAATAAAGTAAGCCTGAATTGTATTGTTCATGTCGGGACTAGTCTTCAGAAACAATAATATGAGAAATCTTGATAAAATTAATGAAATTTATTCTGCAGGGCATTTGCTTCTACTGGAGAAGCCTCTAATGTTGATGATGATCTATGGTTATCATCCCGGGCTTGTTACAGACCTGTTATTGAATGCTGTGGAGGAACTGAACTTGCTTCTTCTTACATTCAAGGGAGCATGCTGCAACCACAAGCTTTGGCAACATTTAGCACTCCATCAATGTCCACAGGGTTTGTCATCCTTGATGAGCACGGGATTCCTTATGTAAGAATTTAATATTTCAAGTACTGGTTAGATGGTTTCCAATTGTGTTTCTTTGTTATCTTCTTCTCACAAACGCACTTCCCTGATTTCCTTTCCTGTGAACTGACAGCCAGCTGATCAACCATGTGAGGGTGAAGTGGGCTTATATCCTGTGTACATGGGAGCTACTGATAGGTTGCTCAATGCTGATCATGAGGACATTTACTTCAAAGGAATGCCATTTTATAAAGGAATGGTATGGATGTCTCTGTTCTCTTATTACTCTTATATTGTTGATGTCAGATGTTTAATTCAAGTTTTTCCCTTGGTTTCTTCTAGAATAAATCACGGGAATCTAATCATAAAAGCAAGGATTGCGAATATTATCTTCTACTGTTAAATTTAGGCAAGTCTTGTAAAAAATAAAGTTCATAGGTCTATGTTCTGTTTCTGGCCAAATCCAGAACAAAAATGATTTAATGAAGCCAATTCAGTATGCAACTTTCAATCATTGGCTTAACTTTCTGGATTTGAATGCCTATGAAAATTCCTTATGAGTGATGTCCCAGTTGGGATTGAAATTGAAGATGATCAGTGCGTATAACTTAAATTTTAATAGTTCATAACCTATGCAAGGTCGAGTATTTTCAAAACCAACATGATGCTTGATTCTAGTAAATGTAAAGTCAAGACAATCATTGTCAAGCAAGAGGTCGATAGATTGCATGGTGGAAAATATGACATCAATTTTCCTGCAAAAACCTTTCGTATATTTTTTGTTTTTTTCTCTTCTTCTTTTTTTTTTTTTTGGGGGGGTACCAAATCAGTGGGGAAGTGGTCCCCTATCCAATTTACATAGAGAAGACTGAGAATTACAACAGCTATGGGCCCCTTTGAGTTGTACAAAAGGACATATCACAAAATAGATTAAGAGTAGAAAATCATGTTACCAAGCAAGGCCAAAACATTTCTGAAGTTCCAACATCAACTCAGCTCCCTAATTTAAATAGAACATATGGATGTACAATCATAAATGACAAAAACATAGGGGAAAGTCTATCTGTGGGAAGTGGAGCTGTTGCAATTATGAGCTATTTCAAACTTGCAAGTTGGAAGGTCCCACACTTCATCCAAAATTAGATGAAACACAGAAAAAATAGAGAATCTCTCTAGCGGTATGTTGTATTACTGGAGCACTTGTATCAGATATAGGGCACAGGTAATTGCTACACTTAAACTCCACAACAAGAAAATGACAATAGATAGCAGTCATATTGAAACGTTACATATTGTCACTTGTGTGCCTTGTGTGACATGTATGGTCATTGCTCTGCCTTTTAGTATGTAAGGGTATGATCCTGCTATAAGTTGCAAACTAAGGGAAATTTTTAGTTCTGAACCTAGGAGTCTTGCCTGTTATGAACTCATGATATTGTGCCTTTTAAATGGAAGTTTTTTGTTTTGCCTTTAGTGACGAGAATCATCTTATTGAGATTCCTTTGATAATGGTCTCTTTCTGGAAGAACGTCTGCCGAATTTTTAGTTATGTTTTTCCTACAGGGAATTTGGAACTTATAATTGGTTTTGTCTTTCTCAATGGCTATGTTAATTTTTTGTTCTTCTGGTAGATTATCTTTGATTTCAATTTTGAGAATAGTGTTGTATCCATTGGTGATCTAAAATGTGGGAAGATTAATGAACCAGAGAATCATTTTGAGAATGATGCTGTTTTTGTCACTTTGTTTCTTCTATTACACATCACTTTCACTTGCATGACCAAACTCGAGATGAACGTCGCCAGAGAATGATCAGAAGAGGCTAACAGAGAGCGTGTTTCAAGGTTAGGCGATCGGATAAAGGTCTTAGCATATTCACATCTGATGTAACCATTCCTAGCCTTGAACAAGAATTTGGAGAAAAATATAACGGTAGTTGGTGGTTGGCTATGGGACCATCTTGCTATCATTGGAAATAAACCATCTTGCTACAACTCGAAATAAAGTACGTTACTATAATGAAACCCTATGGAACCAGATTCACTTTAAATTGAATATGTAAAATGACGTAGGAAGCTGGTAAAGATTAATGATTAGCCACTGCCCATGTTTTTTATGCGAAAATATAGCTGATGGTGTGTTTGATAGATGGGAGCAGCGGCTTTCAGTTACGGTAGCATTTCATGTGTTTGTTAATGGGAAATGCTGTTTTGGAAGCCGCGAGAATGGGCTTAAACAGGAAGCCACAATTCTCATAAAAAAAGTTATTATGTATGTTTGAGATGAAGTGGTTGTAACTATGCAAAATTAAGTAGGACTCTTTTAATTTTATAAGGAGCTGGAGCAAAATCATAATGCCTAATAAGGGCGAGGAGCATAAACCTTCCTTTAACCTGTCCCAAGCCCAAGTAAAAGAGGTGGATTGCGTTAGTTTGGCAGTCAATATAAAACTTTGCCACATCTTATCATGAATTCTGAACACATAGCTGACCCTAAATCCTTGAGATAAGGCTTGGATGATGATGATCATTGTATCCTAGCTACTAGGCCAAGAGGACAAACTCAAAAGCAGGGCCATATTCTCTTTCTTACTCTGGCGTCAGATTCCAAATATTTTCATCGCCATTAATTGAGGATTATATTTTACCTATGGGAGTAATTTATTGTCCTATAAGTTGCTGGAAATCAAAACATAAATGGTCCTATGATCCAGTAGGCTTCCAAGTACTCCCAATCTTTACCTATCTTTACATCTATATTCGCAATATCCTCGTTTTATCACTTTTGCTGAATTGTTTGCTCTTGCCTTTTCCATGTTCTTGTGCATTAAATTTTTGTTGTATCTAGGTGACCATATATTGTGAAAGACTTTATGAAGTAGGATTATGGAATCAAAGTCCTCCCTCCCTCCCTCTCTCTCTCAAAAACATTTCAAGCATATCCATCCCTTTATAATGGCCATAGGAAGCTGCACATAACTCACTCAACTAGATGATATTCATTTCCAGCAACTTAGGAGGCATGGAGATATAATAAAAAGAACTGTTGGGGGGTATTACATAGTGCAGGGTAGAGCTGATGATACTATGAATCTTGGTGGCATAAAGGTACTCATGCCTCTTCCTCACTTTCCTTATGAATGCACTTCCATGGAGACATAATGTGTTTAAGTTACTATGATGGTTGGTTTTCTGTCTGTGTATCTAGACTAGTTCAGTTGAAATTGAGCATGCGTGTGAGGGAGCCGATGACAATGTATTGGAGACTGCAGCGATAAGTTTTTCAGCTGGGGGACCCGAACAGTTAGTTATATTAGCTGTTCTGAAGAAAGGAAGAAGTGCAGATGTCAAGGTGTTGAAAGAAAACTTTTCGAGGGCCATCCATAGAAACCTCAATCCTTTGTTTAAGGTACACAATTGTTATTGCTTCCCCCTTTTAAATTTCTTATTACATCTCCTTAACTTGGTTTGCAAAGGCATCTTACATGAATGGTGGGCCCACTCTAACTTTTCATAGTAACTTTGTGACTGTTTATAGCTTGCAAATTGAATTCTTATGTGTATAGGTGAGTTTTGTTAAAGTCGTTCCGGAATTCCCTCGAACTGCTTCTAACAAATTGATGAGAAGAGTTTTGAGAGATCAAATTAAGAAAGAGCTTGCTATTCAAAGAAGTAAGTTATGACTGGAACAGTGTCCGTCCTCTTATTCATCCACTCGATTTCGTCACTTTCTGATGAAGAATGTAGCATTGTTCATGTGGATAAGATCAATTTGTGAACCTCAATAATTTATTCCTGCATTGAACACTTTATTGTCCTTTTCCTTTTAACTTTTTCTGAGCAATATGTAATGCTTTATTATTTGGAAATCGATGAATTTCCAGTGGGCACACCCTAGCATTTGTATTTCTCATAAAACCTCATGGTATTATTATTATTACCAGTGAGTGAGATAAAGACACCATTGTTCAAATTATTTAATTTTCTTGCGTTTAAGAGGTCTGCCCCTCATGGGCAGAGGACTTTTATGAGATTTGAAACATTTTTAGTCGTAGAAGAAATAGAAAGAGAATCTTAAAACCAAATCTCAAAATTACATAAACATTTATATAAAATGGGAATTAATCAAAAATAAAGAATCTTTGAACAATAGTTGGGATAAGGCTCGGATGATGAGAGAATCTTTGAGCAATATTCAATGAGATTAAGGGAGAGACAGGACCTTAGGGAAGTACAAACTCCTAGGATAATCCCTCTCCCTGCATTCTCTCTCATAACCCCATGAAGTTCCCCTTACTTGTAATTCATTATCCTCCCTCAAGAAAAGGGGCTCTATCCCATGTTATGTGCTAGCTAGGATGATCCCTCTCCCTCCATTCTCTCTCATAACCCCATGAAGTTCCCCTTACTTGTAATTCATTCTCCTCCCTCAAGAAAAGGGGCTCTATCCCATGTTATGTGCAAGTAACTAGCAGGTCATGTCCAACTCATGTCCAACGTTTGGGGATTTATGTAGTGAATTTGTATGCTGGTTTTAGTAACTATAAGGCAGACCTGAGGTTGTGATCATCAAAATCTTGTCTCCTAAAAGGGAGACACACACATGTAAAAGTAAGAGAAAATTCATAAAGAGGGTGATCAGGCTTCAAAAGGTATCTAATTCTCATATATTTTGTGTGTCTGTTCACCCATGAACTCCAATTTATTGGGAAAATGGGTGAGAACTCGGCCACCAATTACATAAATGATTTTCTGGACATGTTGGCTGCTTTTTTTAATCGAAAATGATTCTAACGATGTGAGTGATATGAATAATTTCCTCTATGTCGATTTAAAGGCTCACTCGCGCCATTGTTACATGCATAATTGATATATAACAAAGTTTTACGTGATCAATGGGATGCTCTAGTCGTCCAATTTCACATCCAACCACTAGTATAATTGTGACCTTGTACCAACTATAAACAACACTATTAAATACTTTCCCTTTCTACAATGGAGGTGACCACCATAATTCTTTTATTTACCCCGGTTAATCTTGAGCCTTCATCATTGAAAATGGATAGTGTATGTCTGACATTATGTCATATACCCTTGTTCTACATGCATGGTATATTTTTTCTTCCATATTGTTGCTGCTCCAACTACAACTTCTATCTTTCGTGATAAGAATAGAATTCAAGATATCATGTTATGGTACCCCACCACCTTGATCACGGCCCATTCTTAGAAAAATGAAAAATAAATTTTAAAACCACCTTGATCACGGCCCATTCCTAGAAAAATGAAAAAGAAATTTTTTAAAAAAATCATAATACAACCCGTGATAAGAATGAAACTTAAGATATCACTTTAAGGTACCCCACTACCCATTCCTAAAAAAATACAAAAAAGAAAAAAGAAAAAATTGCCTTGTTGAGTGAATCGATGGCTGTTGTCCTAGACTACTTTGTCCAAGAGGGAAAGGCCAATCCATACTTGGTTTGCAAGGACGCGGTTCTACAGGAGAGAAACATTCCGTGATCCCATTTGGGTGGTCATTAATGAGCTCTCCAAAAAACGCGCCCTGCGTCCAGTCCATCTCTCGAAAAGCAATCTTTATGTAATAAGATCCCGTATCGAATGTTCTCGAGGGATTATATTGTACAATTATGCCCTTGGATAGAAGAAGAGGTTTTTGTAAATCTCAAATTTTTGGATCTCATTTAAAAATATCTGGATGATAATTTTCTAAAAATAATATGATTTTCTAAATATAATTTTCTAAAATTTGCTTTTAGTCGTAGGTTGTTTTTTTCCTCTTGAGCGTACGTGGAATGCGTCTGAAATTTTCTTTATGAGGTTAGTTGCTCTGTCCGGAGAAATTAAATTAGTAAAATATGGCCAGGAAATATAGTATTTTTCACTAGAAAATACTCTAGAAGTATAAATTTTCTATGGGGTGATGTTTGTGTAAGGTGCCTATCTTGTACTATACAAGTAAGGCCTACATCTAATTTTTGCTGAAAGATCTAGTTTGGGTATCGAAAAACTCATAATAGCTTGAGAGTTATGTTCAAATCTAATTATAAAATTTTAAATTTTAAATATGTTGTAGATCGAGCGTATCTATAAATACTTAAAAATATTAAAACAGATTGTTCAGTTATAATATTTATTATTTTAGGATTTAAAATTATTTATCTTTTTAATATATATATATATATATATATATATATATATATGTATGTATGTGTGTGTGTGTGCGTGTGTGTGTGTGTGTGAGGCCCTAAGCAATCAAATTAAGGTACATCTCAAAAATTCACTAGAAGAGGTTGTTTCAATGCCCAACAATTTTCAAATCAATCATCTCAGCCTTAAGATGTATGGACATGAGAAAAAATGGATTTCAAATATTGGAAATAAGGCATCTTGTAAATTTGCAGTGCATTTTCTGAACCGTCAACTTCAAGATTTTCACGTGTTCATAGGTCTGCTCCACCTACATTATTTTTAAAGCTTTAGATTTTTATAATTAGATATATAAATAAATTTTCAGGTCATCACAAAGATTTCCAAACATCTTTTGACACTATTTGAATGTGAGCTTTACTTTCATCCTTTAGGCCGTGCTCTTGTACAAACCACACCTATGTCTTTATATTCGTGCATATCTGGTCATATTTTTTAAGGGTGAGGTCCGTATAAAATGTCAAATTTATACTATTGAATTAAGGTGTACCTCAAAACTATACTAAAAATGCAGTTTTGGTGCTACAAAGCCTTGCAATGATATGAAAAATTTATTGTTTCTCCAAATTATGAAATTTAAAGTTTCAGAAATGGTAACGATCTAGTAGATCTATAAGCTATTGAAAATATTGAAATCGGACGGTCCAAATAATGTGTTAGAAGATGAACTATTTTTAGTAATAGAAATCACCTTTCTTTTTCATGTCTATGAATCTCAAGGTCGAGATGATCTACTTGGGGTTTTCTAGCACGTGAACAACCTTTTCTAGTGGGATGTTTAAGTGCACCTTACTTATAGAGTATAAGGTTGACATCTTATAAAAACTTTTTCCATTTTTTAAAGAAGAAAATTTATATAGAGTCTAGGATCTAAACAATCAAACTATAGCATACCTAATAAATTTCACTAGAAGAGGTTGTTTTGATGTGTAAATATCCTCAAATTGATCATCTCGACATCAAGATGCATGAACATGAGAAAAAAATATAGATTTCAAGTTTTGGAAATAGTGCATCTTGTAATGTATTTTTGAACCGTCAATTTACAAGATTTTCAAGTTTTTATAGATCTGCTCGATCTACACCACTTTTAATTAAAAACGAAAATATATTTTAAATCTGTCACAAATATTTCCAATATTGAAACGGCATGTCTCAAGACTATTTGGAGGTAGGCTCTAATTTGATTGTTTAGAGCCTGGCTATATACAAACCCCATCCTTTTTTAAACCCTCTTTTCTTCTAAATGTTGGCGCACTGTACAAAGTTGTGGCCTTATATAGGCGTATGGTTTGCATGCTCTAAACAATCAAATTAGAGCCCACCTTCAAATAGTATCGAGAAATGTAGTTTCAATTCTAAAAATCTTTGACTAACCTTAAAATATATTTTTATCTTTAATTATTAATTTAAAGCTTAAAAAATAGTGTAGATTGAGCAGATCTTTGAAAATTTAAATAACTTAAAAAATTGACGGTCCAAATATATGTTACAAGATGGGCCATTCCAAAACTTGAAATCCATTTTTTTCTCAAGCTCATGCATATTGATGTCGAGATGATCAATTGGAGAATATTTGGTCATCAAACAACTTCTTCTAGTGAAATTTTTGAGGTACACTCTAATTTGATTGTTTAGAGCCTATGCTATATATAAACTTTTGCCCTTTATGCAAACCTTTCTTATGGCAGGAAAACAAAAAAAAACCGCATTGTCTATGCAATTTACCCCAACCAAATTTTTTCTCACACCTTTTTTCCCAAAAACAATCTTTCTATACAAATTCTCATACACAAAAATCATTTTGGACCCAATAGCACAAGCAAACAATCACACCCTCATAGCACCCAAAGTGCTGAACAGCCTTAAGACAACTACCATATCGAAGCACACTATCACATTGTCGGAGCGCCCAAAGTGCTAAACCACCTTAAGACAACTACGGGATCGAAACTGAGTATTGTCGGAACACCCTCTTGATAGTGTCGAAGCCGTGGAATCTAGTAACATCTCCTGTCGGACCACCTTTTGTATTTGCAAATACCAATCCGAACTTTTCATATGCCGGAGCCCTATTATCGTATCGGACCGCACTTTACATACTATTGGAGCCCTATTGCCGGATCACATTTACACAGGGCTGGAAAGCTACGGACCGCATTTACATGATGCCGGAGCCCCTATTTTGGTGGAATAGAGGAGAGATGCATAAGGTAAAAGTACGGGAGGGTAATTTCGGTATTTTTTATTTTCTATCGTAGAAGTATTTCTATAGAAATTGTATTTTGGGGGAAAAAGTGGGAAGAACAGTTAGATTGGAGGCAAGTTGCATATGGTTTGAGTTTTTTTTCGTAATTGTTTTTTAAAAAAAAAAATAATATCTCCTGCCTCTCTTTCTCTCTCTAAATAAACTTGGCACCATTCTATCACTCTACACGGTAAACGGAACATTCATTTATTTTTACCACCAACCAATCGTATTCAAGACCATAATGGAGGAGGTTGCCCACCGCTGGACCCGAGGTTGCCTCCCTTAAAAGCCGCTTCTGCAACCCACCCTTCTTTCTTCCCCTTCCTTTAAACCGTCATCACTCACCACTCTCTCTCCCCCCTCATTACTTTCTCTCTCTCTAAAATTCCATGATGGGCTCCAGGAGGCGCCTGGCTCCCCTCACAGAGGGTCCTTCCGACCAGGATGATCCCCTGGACCACGCCCCATATGCAAGCAGCTACCTGAAGAAGAAGCAGAGCAGCTCGAGGTCTTGGATGGAGTGGCTCAAAGAGCAGTTACCACTTCTCTCTCACAAGAAATCCAACCTCAAGATCCTCTTAGCCGTCTTGGGTTGCCCTCTCTCCCCACTTCCGCTCACACAAAGGAAAACCTCAGCGGTGGTTGCGCAGGTGAACTCTTCGGCGCAATACATAATCCGGCAGTTTGAGGCGGCGTCCGGGTGCAAACGGGCGGAGGAGGCTGTCAAGAACATGTATGTAATGGGGAAAGTGAAGATGGTGATGGTACAAGTAGAATGTGGGGCGAATTCATCGTATACGTTGTCTTCTTCTTTATCAGGTAGTGGTGGTGGGGTGGTGGAGGAAGGGTGCTTTGTTATATGGCAAATGGCGCCAGAGAAGTGGCTGATGGAGCTGGATGTTGGCACCCACAAGGTAGTGGCCGGCAGCGACGGCAAGATCGCGTGGCGCCACACCCCTTGGCTTCCCTCTCACGCCGCCAAGGGTGGCGTACGTCCCCTCCGCCGTATCCTTCAGGTATGTTATTATTTACCTACTTGTATGAATGGTAAATAGTCTCATTGTATACAATCTTTTTTTTTTTTTAATTGGGTTTCAAACAGTATGCTTAGCTCCCTCTAAGTGCACAAACCCTCGATCAGCGCACTGGATGGTCAAGGGTCTGCTAGCATACTATTAGAAGCACAAATGTTATACCCTAGTTTAACATTCACTTTAATCTTCTGAAAGTGTTCTCCCCGTGAGCCACAAACCGTACAAAACGGTCTGAGGTGGACATTGGATGGTTGAGGGCTGGCTAGCATACTATTTGAAGCACAAATGTCTTACCATAGTAATAAGATTCCATCAAAGTGTTGTAAAACTGTTTTGAGATGAAAAAAAGTACATGATTGATTCCTTTGGGAATTTTCGAGATTCTTTTGCTTTGGCTGGTTCGGCTCTTGGTTCGGTGGTTTGGGCACAAGGACTTGCAGCTTAGGCTTCAAGGTTCGGACCCTAGCTAAACCACCCAACAAAAATAAAAACATTTTTTTTGGGTAAATAAATAAAAACAATGTTTTGCCTCTCTATGTATTTTAAATGAGAGCAACTTTGAATTTCCTTGAACTTATAAATTTATGTAAGATTTTTTTGTCCCGCAGGAAGATACTATCTATTTCCTCCCTTGGGAAAAATATATCCTGCTGACATTTTTTTTTTATCTCAAATAACATATCAGCACAAAAAAAATCCGAAATGAACTCTCTATGTACTCTATGTACTAAAAAATCCGAAATGAACTCTCTTTGTACTAAAAAAAACTAATGCCTCAAGATTGAATAGAGACCATCTAATTTTTAAAAAGTTAGATCTAAGTATAAAAAAACTTAAAACTTTTAAAAATAATCTAGTAATTATTATGAGTTTCTCAAAATTTTAGACTAAAATAATTCCCCCAAGTAGGTGTTTTGAGTGAGGGAGGAGACGCACAGTATGCTCCCACAGGAACATAGGATATGAGCTGATTATATTATTGGTTAAAATAAATTCCTTTAGTTCGTTGAGATTACCCCAGCTGGGGAACTGTCCAACAAATGTAAGATACCTAGGTGCACATGCAGTACTTCTCTTTTCTAAAGCTTTTTCTTTTTTCTTTTTTCCTTTTTTTTTTTTTTCCTTTTTAAGACAGTTTTCAGTTAAGAACTATAATCTATATCATGAAAAAGGCACCTTTTTTATAATTTTACTGGGGAAATTCCTGTGGAAATAGTTCCACCAACCTCAACTTTTTTTTGTTAGATAAGTTCATTAAGAAGGCTTTTCTCTTTCTTTCCTTTTCTTTTCTTTTTTTTTTTTTTAAATGAAAAAGTCACCTTACGTTCATTAGAATTCTGTCCTGTAATGAAAAAGTCGCCTTTGATCATGTGTGATCATTCCCTCACGTGAAGAGATACCTCTCTTTCTTCGGTCGATTCAAAACCCGGAAATAGGTTTTGCTTCATCCGATTAGCCAAATCAAGCGATCCAGATCGAGTTTGACAAGTGTCCAAGTCGGGTTTGGGTTCAAATGACTTGGACTAGCCCAAGTCAAGTCTAAGTCGGGTTCGGTCCAAATCACTTGAACCCAACTCAAGTTTAGGTTTGGTCCAAGTCCATGTGACATTCAGTCAGGTCAAGGTCAGGGTCCATCTTGACCTGATCGGGTACTACCCCTACAGTCCACTTGAACTAGGACACTTCAACAAATCTATTTATTGGCCGACCTGCTCATTAAAACAAGGAATCCTCACGTGCAAAGAGCAGTAGATGTAGGGTAATAAATTGTTTGGTGTTTTGTATATTAATATTGTTGGAGTTTTTTTTTCACCCATCATTATTGCATAAAAGAGTCCCCCCGCGATATGTTTGGTCAGTTTGTGCATCATTTCGACTTCGACAATTATAGAATTGAAAAAGAGTGAGGAATTGTTGAGGTTTATATAAATCACCTATTTTGTAACCGTAGAAATAAAGCACATCTTTAAATTTTATCTAGAGATGTGATTCTATCCTTAGTTATGAAATTCAAAATTTTAAAAATAGTATACTTCAATCCGATTTATAAATGCATAAAAATCTTACAAATAAAGGTTCAGATAACTTGTAACGAGGTGCATTAATTTAGGACTTAAGTTTTTTTTTTTTGTATATTCATACATCTCGAGGTCAAGATGATCAATTGAAAGAATTTATAATACTAAAACACTCTCTTCTAAGGATTTTTTATGTGCACATTGCTAAATAGTATAAGGTATTCACCTTACTAAATAATACAAGGTTTAGACCTTATATAGACTTTGTCTCTTTGGAAGGGTAAAGGTACGTTGCAAATCCTAAAATTAGTGTACACGCAATAGATAGTCGAGTATTTACAAATCTGCCAAAATTTGCACTATTTTTGGAGTACAAATTTCATTATCAAGGAATTAAATAGATTCTCAAGGCCTAAAAGAATTTTCTCGCACCAAAAGAGCATTTAGCGGAGTTTCGAGGTTCTATTTATTTTTCAACATAAACAGACCACAAATACCCTTGTAGATCTCAAAAATAACATTAACAAAAAGTTGCTTGAGCATTTAAAAAAGGGCTCGATTTCTATGCGGCCAAACCCACATATATAGAAATGGGGGCGTTTTAATAAATCTATTTTTGAGATGGATTTTTAGACATAATGTAATCTCTAACATGGAGATCATGAATATGAATATGAAAAAATTAATAAATTTTAAAAATTAAAAATAATAATCATAGTAAGAAAACATTTGGACCATTAATTTCCATTGTTTTTAGATGGAATACCTACTTGTATCCATTTTTAAGATGGATGCTTTACACTTTCTGGATCGCATATGTAGAAATGCGGTCCAGCCAGCATAAAATAATTTTCCTTTTAAAAGAATGATTGTCTACAACGAGATCATTTACTTTTTGTACAAAGAGGTCGCACTCATTCTTGTCCCTTAGATTTCAAAATGGGTGTTTGTAAGAGTGGCATTGAATAGACACAAAGTTCCACAAAAACAATTATCGAGCTTAATTACTCACCCTGAACCATCCAATTTGACATTTCATAAGTGAGAACAATTGTAACCTCTTTAAAATAAAGATAAATGATCTTTTTTTAGACAATCCCTTTAAAAAAACAAAGGCATATTTATAAGTTTAAATTATCTCCAATATTTAGGATTAAACAAGATTTTTTAATATTTGAATATACTTTTCAGAGTTTTTATGAAATATGGAAGTACTCTTCTTAGAATACATGGACAATATATAGTCAAAATCATTTTTTTAACATATAAAATTTTATGATCGATAAATTTTGGAGAGATTTCTAAGTTAACATGAGAGAGATGTATCTACAAGTGTATATATTAGGAAATTTATTTAAAGACCATGAAATAATGCGGAAGTATTGCATGTCCCACAACTTCTCAAATTTTACACCGAAGTCCTTTTTTTTTTTTTTCGGTTCTAGTTGTGCCTCCATTTCGGTACTGCAAATATCAAGCCATCCTTTTTGAACTCTAGGGCAGTATGATGTCCCAGATATTGGAAAGCTCGGCAGTCTAATATTAAAAACATCATACTTCCACTTTATGTTGGGGCAATTCAATAGTTCATATATCAGACCGCTCCATACTTATAACTTTTTTAAAAAAAAGTTTGTACAGGGCTGATATATAGAACATAGGGCTGCATCTCATCTTTTCTTTTCTTTTCTTTTTCTTATATATTGTCAAAATCAAACCGCAATGGGAAATTAGCACTTAAAAGCCCCATTCAAATTCCTACTATCGCAACCTTAGGGCTTTTAAGCCCCAATTATTGGGCCGTTCGATTTTAACAAAATTGAGCTGCATTTAAATAAAGAAAGATAGAAAGATGAAATGAAGTGATCCAATATTGGAGACATCGGACTATTTCATATTTAAAAAATAAATTCATAAGTGGGGAGTTGTCTAATGTTTGGAACATCAAACTACCCTTATCTTAAAAGGGTGTACAATATTTTTAGTATTAAACAATTCTATAAATGTGGCTTTTTCCAATATTAAGCAATTCTAGCAATGTAGTTTTTTAGCATTTGGGGCATCATACTACTATAAAGTACATAAAATCAGAAGAACAAAAAAATTTAAAAATGATTTTGATGTTTGAAATATTGAACTTAGGGCAAAATGAAATACAAAATCACAAGAAAAAAGACATTGACTAAACTGTGGAACCTACAATAATTTCACATTTATTTTATGGGATTGTATACAATGAGACCATTTACCTTTTATATGAGGTGGTCACAATTATTATGTACAACCATCCGAAATGAAATCTTATAGCTTGGGTGTGTCACAAAATTCGAAAAAGAAAATTTAAATTTTGAGCTTGGTCAATGGAATAAATGCAGTCATCTAATTTCACATCCAATAGTCAAGATTAATTGTGACCACCTTGTACTTAAGATAAATGGTCTCATGTATATTTTTCCTTATTTTATGGTTCCTACATAAAATTTCCTATATATTACACCCTCCTCACAACCGTTCACTCTTTTTCATTTCTGTTGGGTGATTATGGTGCCTACGTGGCTCAAAAAATCCATTTTCAACAACAAAGTGTCCCCACCAAGCAATGCGGTTGATATGTCACCAAATCTTTCAAGTCAGGGTCCTAACTTAACATTATTACCATGAGGAACAAGTATTATTTCTTTTTAGGAACAAATTTTATAAAAATAAAATATTTAAAAATATTTACTTAATACCAAAAAGATTCAGCAAGAATTATAGCACGTTTGGTACGCATGAAAATCCTCTCGTGAAAGTATTTTAGGTGAAAATCTTCACCCAAAAAAACTCTTGATGCGTTTAAGTGTGTGAGTTTTTTCATACCAATTGGTCCCTCAATATTTTTTCACGCAAGTTAATGTGAAAAAACTCCCACACCTAATCATACAGTGGAGTTATTTTATATGAAAATAGTCTTTCATGAAAATAAATATACCGTTAATTTCTTCTCCTTTAAAAGACTGGACATATATTTGTGTAGAAAATCCCTGGAAACTAACACAAAGGCAACTTGATTAGGGACTGGATCCTTTTACAGTGGCGTCCACCTTCTTAGGGGCCGATTATGTCGGAGAGAAGCAGATTTCTGATGAGGATTGCTTCATGCTGAAATTGGCAGTTGATCGAGAAGCCCTTGTGGAGCGTAGTGACAGTGCAGCAGAGATCATCAAGCACAATCTAGTGGGTTACATGAGCCAACGAAGCGGGTTACTAGTTCACTTAGAGGACTCCTACCTCACTCGAATACAGCCCCCGGGATCTCAGGCTACATACTGGGAGACTACGATTGCTTCCTCAATTGGGGATTACAGAGCAATCGAAGGCATCATGGTTGCGCACTCAGGCCACTCCTCTGTGACCATAACAAGGTTTGGAGATGGTGTCAAGGTTGGAGGCGCAACCACACGAATGGAGGAGGCGTGGGCTATCGAGGATCTCGTCTTCAATGTGCCCGGCCTCTCAGTTGATTGCTTCATACCACCAGCTGAGGTCCACAAGGAATCCCTTCCTGATATAACCTCATGATCCTATCCTTGTTAGCTCCTCTTCGTTACTGAATGCTTGGAAGCTCCATGAAACAAGGTTCCTAGCTTATTAGTTCATGGGATATCCATCTAACAGGTTTTGGATTCAATTTCTTCATACAATCCCAACCTTCTATGCTGCATGTGCTCAAGGCAACCACAAAAGGCACTATTGTGAAGCCCCTAAAGGGGAGATGCTTTGATGTGCAAAACCTTGCACATAAGCATATAGATGTTGAATCTACACACTAGTTATGAACTTAGGCTGTACCCTTGTATCATTAAAATAAGGGGTGTAACTTTTAAGCATGTGTTTTAATGGAAAAGCATACATAAGACTATTTGTTTGTTACAAAGATGTCACAATCAACTATGATTGTTGGATGTAAAATGGGGTGGCTGGGGTTATTGCAATGATCGAGCTCAAAGCCCAAAGAAGAATTTTTAAACTTTAAGATACACGCTAAGGGAGAAAATTTTCGATAAGGTGTCGAGAAAATTTTCGAACTTTATGACACAGAGCTATCAATTTGTTTTTTTAACTTTATGACACACTCTGAGCTGTTGAATTGAAAGCGACTTGTTGAAGCGAGAGTGAGAGCCAAGCCTAGATATGAGAAGAGGTAAGTCATGAGACTGGTGATCACAAAGCTCAGATTTTGACTTATAAAACCCTATTTTTTTTAGAGAGAGAGTCAGCTTTTTGAAAACACGGTTCACGGTGTAACCTAAAAAGCCCCTACCACCCCTAATGCATCTATCCTTGTAAAACCAATAGATCCATACCCCAAACTTCTCATAAATTTGTTTTCTTCGCAAATCTCCTGTGCCTGGATATTCCAACTAATAATCTCTATTATAAGTAGAAGTAGACTCATGCCAAGCGGTAAACTCCTCCCTAGGGGTGGCAATAGGCCACCCCTGGTCCTAGCCTGGCCGGCCTTGATAGGGCCAAAAAGTCCCTGGCCTAAGCCTATAAAGGCCGGCTGAACCGAGATGTGCCAAACAAAATTGAAAACAAAACAAAAGAAAAAACAAAGAAAAAGACGGTCAAGCCGAGTCAGGCCCCGTATGGCCTTACCCTTGAGCCATGCTTGCCTAGCCTTGGCCTGGGCTTTGGGTCACGAAGCCCCAATTTTTTAGAGCCAGACTGATCGGGCCAGGCCACCCGGTCCATTGCCACCCTTACTCCTTCCCGACAGATGTAGAATCATCATCATCTTCTTCTTCTCTTCCACTTTCATCACTAATTATCAAAAATGCCCCCCTTCCTTTACATGCTCACCTAGCAGCTACTCTTGCTAAAGAATGAGTAGGCCGAGCAACGACCCCCTTTGACTATGCATCATCCTTCATCCCATTTTTCTTGACTATAGTATCCTTTGCTCTGTTTTCTCTTTTGAAGCCTGGATACGGTCCTTAAAAACCTTCATCACTTGAACAAGGGGTGTACCAAAGGTCAACCTCATGTATCATAAAACATGGATTCAATAGTCTTGTGTATTGCACAATGTGCACAACACAAACCACTCAATCTGAGCTATCTATGTACAAAGTGTAGCAATGATGCCCGCATTTATGATGAGCATTGTGCACCCGCGCGCCATACAATTTACACTACATTCTCCGAAATATATGTGCACAAAGCACTACATAATTGCAATTAGTACTCGGTCTTATATATTATGCACTGTACACAACACAAACCACTCAATGTGCACTATTCGTGTGCAAATTGTAGCAATGATGTCTGCACTTAGGACATGTGTTGTACACCTACACACCATGCAATTTGCACTATGTTCTCCAAAACATATGCGTACAAAACACTACATAAGTGTACTTAGTACTCAGTCTTGTGTACCGCGCACAATAGTTGCTGAGCCAATGGTCCTTATCAATAATTACTGAGCCAATAACTATTTCTCTTCCATTAAAAAAGAAATCCTTATCGATATTGTGCAAAATCTTCCCAAGGACACAAGCCTCATATTCTCTACTACTTGCATGGAACCCTTACCTTATTTTTATATCTATCCCCCCTTCTGAAACCCCGTTCCTTCTTTTTGTACTACTTCCTCTTTGATGTAATCTACTTCCCTAGACACCACCCACCTCCATCTTAATTCTTTTTTGAGAATTTTTTTTTTTTAATTTACTTTTTAATTCTTTAAAAGATAACTTTTCCTTGCTAGTCATATCCCTATCCCTATCATCATCAACTCGTTTTAGTGGGACTTGTAGAATCTTTTCCAAGCCCTTATAGAGTAATTTCCCCAATCTAACTCATTTGAAATGGCAAAAGCCCTATCACGTGATTGGTTTCTAATTGAGGAATTAAATTTGGGGCAAAGGAGTCATTAGAACATGAAGTAACACTAAGGGAATCGTTTTCAAAACATTTCATGAGCCTCTATATCTGTTTGAATTTTAGAAAGGAATTTTAAAAGTTTGACCTGGAACCACTACCTCTGTTCAGCGGTCCATGTGTCCCTCGGAAATTGACAATCGGTTCATACACAAGATTCCATGCTCTTTTTGCCTAGTCACCCAGACCAAAAATATCATTAAAAGGAGGTTTAGAAGGACCCAACAACAAAAGTGGACATTCGTTTCGAAAGTATCTTTCAATATGCCTTCATCGACAAAAACTGAAAGAAGATCATCAAGGGTCATAACCTTAGTAATTCCACTGTATCAATGGTCATTTAAAAGTTCAGCGGCTGTAAAAGTGTGTAATACCATCATTCATTGCCCTTAAAGAAACTTAGACGATGTTGTGTTTGAGTACTATGGAAAAAGGGAGACACAAGAGAAAAAGAAAGGAAAAAGTAAAAGGGAATGACCTCAACTAAAACATAGCATGGTCGAGCCCAACCACATGATGAAGTGTTCCAGACCCACAACTTAATTTGAGAAGGATTTTCTTTATCCAAAAATTTTATATCATGATTCACTTTGTGAATAGTTACACGAAAAACGTTGCTGAGATATTGAAAACTTATAACTTACGGAAATGGGCATTTGAGAGTCCATTTCCGAGAAAGGATCGATTTGGAGCATTTATGTGCTCTAGATCAGTTTCTTTTTCAAATGGAATTGATCTTCAGTGACTAGTGTTGGCTTCAAAATATTCACAAATTATTGTATAGCGTTTTCAAACTCAATTTCAAACTTAATATTTTGTTTCAAAGAGTCTCTTGGGTCTCTTATTATTTTAGTCAACAGAAATTTACTATGATGTTGCATTTTAGTATGTCAGAACTAGGAGGCACACTTGAGTAGTGCTGGTTATTCCTAGCAAGGTTTGAGGTATTATGATCTTTAGGGAAAAGATGAATATGGTTTATTAGGGAGTAAAAAATAAGCCTAATAATCTCTATATAGGGGGGTCAATCCTTTTAGTTGTCACCATTTGGGAAAATGGTAACAGGGATCTCCAAGAGAGAGATAAATCTTTTATAGAGAAAGGCATCAGCGAGATAAATCTCCAAGAGAGAGATAAATCTTCTATAGAGAAGGGCATCAGCAAGATAAATCTCGTATAGAGAGGGGCATCATCTCCGCGAGAGGCAATTTTTCATGGGGTTTTGGATTGGTTAGTTTTTCGCTTTTAAATAAAAAAAGTCATCTGATTGTGGTCAATGTTGTCTTCCAATAATGCAGCAGTCAAAAGATGGAGATTGATCAACATTATTGATTGGGGGAGCGGGTATAGAGGGAAAAATCAGCAAGGCTTTTTGCCGATGTTCAGAGAGAGATATGCATCTTGTGACCCCAAAATTATAATATTTTTGATAGTGGAGTTCGACTTGATGAGTCTATGATGTAACTCTTTTGAAGTGGTGAATTATGTAAAATATTGTCATATTATGGTGTTCTTTTGTTTTTACTCTTTATCTTGCAGGTATTTTATTGTTGAACTTGTCTATTTCACATTTAGAAGATTTTTTGACCATCTTGAATGAGATCAATGTATTTTGGTTTCTAGTTATGCAAATGAGGGGAACCCATGAGCCTAAAATGGATTGGCTTTTGTCCTTTATTGTCCCATATGCAGAATTGTAGTATCTGGATATCCTATACAATAGATTGTCTTTGTCCCTTGCAATTTGAGCAATTCCTGAACCATGGCAATTTGAGCAAATTTATATCACTTAATTGCTTCCTCAAACATATCTTAAAAATGCTTAAATTGCCATGATTCAGGAATGCGAAACAAGAACAAGTAGGGACATTTTAGTGATGCGATTGATCCTGAACAAGTAGAAGTACTCCGTCAAATTATTAAAATACCCTTGTTTGTCTATTGTTTTCGACTCTGTATATGGCAATATAGATATTTTTAAGGATATTTTTGAGAAAATACCTGAATTAAATGAAAATTTTAAAAACCCCATAGTGTTAACTAGGCTATTGTCACCCCCTCAATGATTTTGTCGAGGGTAATGACGATATTTTTGGAATAAAATATTTATAAATGTTTGTCCCATGAATCCTGCATTCTGAAAAGGGAAAATTAAGTAAAAAAATTCCTGTATATTTTATATTGAAAAATCCCACATATTTTATAATTTATATTGTAGTCCCATTTTGTCATAATTTTTATATTTCCAAACTACCCCTTATCCAGACCTTCAAGTTCCGAACTGAAACATTTCCTATTATTACTTTCCAAGAAAAATCAGTCTCCATGTATAAGCCTTTGCCATCCCTGAAAGAGTGGAAGTGCTTCTAGTAATAGGTTAGGTTAAGGTTGGAAGTACTTTTAGTAATAGGTTAGGTTAAGATTGCCCTAAGCCTAGCTAGGGGCTCTAGACGCCCAACCCAGACAAGAGCCGGTCCAAGGGGACATAGCCTTGGCCAAAGCTTGGGCTTGCTCTTGGCCTACACTGCCCGTTCCAGACCTAGCTGGGCCTAGCATATATTAAACTATTTCTACCATTGTTTTCCAGACCTAATATGAGATCGGATCGATAGGACTGTCGATCGGTTGTTTCACTGCAAATCTAGTTTAAGAAAAAATCGGTAAGAACTAATGTTTGATTGCTCTCAGCCGGTTCGACATACTGATTTCAACTAGTTCGACATGCCAACAACATTGGGCAATTTTTAATGTATTACATATTATGAAACTATTATTTATATATAGGGAAAAGTTTATATAGAGATGAGGCTCTAAACAATCAAATTTGAGCCAACCTAAAAAATTTCAATAGAAGAAGTTGTTTTAATGCTCAAATATTTTCAAATTGATCATCTCGACATAAAGATGTATGAACATGAGAAAAAATGGATTGCAAATTTTGAAAATAGTGTATTTTATAAAGCATTTTAGACCGTCAATATTTAAGATTTTCAAGTTTCATAAATATGTCGACCTACACTACTTTTGAAGCTTTAAACTTTAGAAATAAACATAAAAATATATTTTAAGGCTATCACAAAGATTTTCAATATTAAAACCATATTTCTCGACACTATATGATGGTAGGTTCTAATTTGATTGTTTAAAGCCTAGGCTCTATACAAACCCACCTTTTATATATATATAAAATCTAATCAAATTTTTTCGATTAATAATTAATTAAACCTATTTTAACTAGACTAGACCGCCACTCATTCGATAGCCAGTACAATCCTAATAAAACCTTTTTTTACCACTAGGTAGGCCTACGTAGCCGAAGGGAAAATTTAGCGGTCGGGTCATGCAGACCCGCCTTGGCCATTCTCCTCTACACCTCCATTTGCTTGCCGCCTTTCAATTTTGGTTCCATTTAAAGTCATAATCCTACTTGTCTCTCCGTCCCAGATCTCTCTCTCTCTCTCTCTCTCTCTCTCTCTCTCTCTCTCTCCATTTGCATCTTCCCCTTTCCTGCAGTCCCTGCTGATTTGTTTTGGTGGAATTAAGGCAAGGTCTCCACCACCCACCTGCTTATACATGGTTCTTTCTCTATCTTTATCTTTTTCTCTGTTGTTTTTATGGTTTCTATTGCAAATCTCTGTTGTAATAATTATTCTCGATTGAGCTTGAGCTGGTGAACCAATATCTGAATGAGTATGATTATTTCAAGTTCCTATTTGATATTAAACTCCGGTTTTATGAAACCGAATGTTATTTCTGTTCTTCTAATTCTATTTTGTGGTTTTATGAAACCGAATGTTATTTCCGTTGTTCTAATTCTATTTTGTTTGTGAATTTGTTGGTACCTTTTAATAGTAGAACCTTTGGTATTTTGATTATGTGAAGAGTATAAGAAGCATTTGATGTGGTCAAAATTGTGAAATTATTTCTAACATGCAACAGCTATCCTCTTACCAGAGTAGTACTCATGTTCTATTTGATGTTTGAAGCTTATAGACTTTTCCAGGCTCTGAAATGGAGGTACTGTTGCTTCTGCGCATGCTCATCGCCCTTTACTGAGGACTTCTGTCTCTTAAGATTATTTTCATTTTCACTTCAGTTTAGAAATTGGGTTCTAAGATGGGCTGATGGGTTTGTAAGATAAGATGTATGTTGTTGTATCTGCATGTTATGATGATTTTCAGGATTAACAGTATCGTTTTATCTGTGGGTGAACCCAAATTAAGATTTTTTATCATTTGTGTGGATGATAACATTGTTTACTTATGAAACTTATAGTAAATCAGGCTCGGTGAACTGAGAAGAACATAGGTTATTTGGAAATTTCACAGGCAATTGGAAATGAAGAAATGTAGAACTTTAACGCATTCATATTCTATTATTTGTGAAGTGAGGGGAAATGTAGAGTCAATTTGGTTCACGCTAGAATCTATATTGGGCCTGAAGATTTTGCAAGATTTCCTTTAGAAGCTTAAGAATTTATTGGTCTATTCTTATTATTGGTGCTTCTCACTTACCAATTCGGTTGCATTCGAGAAATTGGAGGATGGTTATTTAATCCCTATTCACACAAATAAAATTTGATGTACAAACTCAAAATGGAGAAAAATTCCCAGAAAGAGATTTGTTTGATGTGGGAAGAGCATCCTGCTGCTTCCAGGAAAAGCTTTTGTCATAAGAAATTTATTTCTCATTATAGTAGTGATAAAAAACTCGGCTGATTCCATTCGGACTCGACAGAGTTACTTCGACTCGACGCCTTTCTGAGCTGAGTACTCGAATTTTATTTTTAGGCCCTTTTTTTTGGTCCCTGAACACTGCCCAGGCAAATCCACTTAGACCCACCTGACCTACTCGGCTTGGGCAGGGCTTGAGTCAACAAGCCTGAGCTGAGTTTTTGAACCTTGCATTATTGGAAGCTCATTTATTGCTTCAAGCTGGTCATGATATCTCGTGCTCTGATGCTCATATATAGAGAAAATAGACTACATAATTTTTGTATATGAACATCCGGCTTGTGGGTGCTTCAATCTTTTGTATATCCATTTCATTAATACAACAGTTAACAATTTTAAAAAAAAAGACAAAAAGAAAAGAAGAGAAGACTGCATAACTTGCTCCATCAAGGAATGATGTTGGGAGTTCACGAATCCTTCCTTGGGAACAGGCCATGGGGTGACCTGTTGTTTGTGCCAAGGGGCACATTCTTGACTGTTGATTGATTACATTACCTCCTCACTGTTTTGCAAAGTGAGATTGTTTCATGGTAATCGTCTTCTTCCACTTGTACTTTTACAGCACTGTCTTGATTTATATTGGATGAAAGGATCAGTGGCCAGGCCCTTTTTGTTTGTCAAGATTATGAAATACCCATGGTTGAGGCCTCAGCTAGAACTATGGATGCTTTGCCAATGAGTCAATCCCATCATAGGCCTATGCCTCTTTTCTAAAGAGGATAAACAGCTGCATCGAGAGTCTAAAGGATCACTGGAGGACCAGCTTTTGTTGTAGCCAATGTCCTGCTTTATTAAAGAAACAAGTATGGTGTACTTTTTTACTTTGTTGAACAGCTGCTTGCAGTTGAGGCTTTGGCAGGTTTACTGAAGGAAGCGTTAGATTGGAGCCTAGGCTAGTTTGATGTTTTCTCATCCTTAACAAATTTTTAGAGGCCATAAGGGTATTTTCATATCAAGTATCAGTTGATTTAATGAGGTAAAGGAGAAGACATCACGAGCGTGGTTGGTCTCCTTTGGACTGTACTATTACCTATATTCTTGAATTAAACTCTGTATTCTTAGTCTTCAGCTGCCAAGACAAACCTTAGAGCCTTGCATTTATGCATGAATAGAGATGAGAGAAATCTATTTGAGTGTTTTATAACATGCAAAATAGAACCAAAATAAACGAAATGGCTCCTCCAAAATCAATGACTTTGGGGGGTAGCTTTAGAAAGGCATAGTTTCAGTAAGTTAAATATAGAAGTTTTCATTTTCCTTTTTTTCTCTATGTGCCTAGACCATGGAGAAACGCCCCAACATTCTCTCACTGTCTTGTCAAGATTTTGGTTTTATATATCACTCACTTGTTAGTACAAGGAGCTTTCTCATGATCACTTGAGCTGTCCATCCTCAACAGTCCATCTACTCATATGATCCATCCACTTAATCGCAGCAACCACACACTTTCTCATGCTCATTACTGTCATGATGTAGTGCATGATCAATTGATCATCAACCACCTCACGAACTTCATGCAAATGCTTTTAAACCAAGGAATTCCCTTACAAGTATCCAACAATAAATAGTGTCCAACACCCCATATTAGTAATGCTATACATCTGCCGTTGCCAAATGGTGAATCTCCATCAAGGAAGTGAGCCATACTGAGAGATGCTGAGCTGCACAAATTACCTGACTAGCACATCGACTTCCTGTGGCTAGAGATAATGAGTAATATGTGTGCTAATGCACTCTAGTTGATGGTGGTTCAACTATATAACACTCCCTCCAAGGGAGTGTCACCACTTGTGCTGAAATGACCTAACCTTCTCAATCTTGGAGGCTGAAACTATCAGCTGCAGAGGCTAATGATCATTAAGAAACTACTCCATCACTAAGATACCATTGCATCACTAAGATGCTCATGCAACTAAGGCTATAGGCTCACTAAGATGCCACTTGATGATTAATATTTCATCTGACCGTAGAATGGTTAATGATTGCCGCACTGGGTTCATCTGAATAAAAGTCCAAAGTGCCACATAGATGTCATCAACTTACAAAGACTCGGAATCCCATAGGGGCAGGTAATGGCATGAGGTGTCACACTGGCACCAGTGCCATGAATGCGGGTAATATCACCAAGGATAGAATATACATTATGCCACAAAGGCTAGTGCAAGCACAAGGGCTACTCACGAAATCCTACAGTCATCATAATCATAAAGACTCTCCAAATGGGTAGCAAGGCTCCAATATGTCACTATGGCCTGCCACTAAGATTGGTATCATAATGACTTAGAAATGCGCATGAATCCATGGCCACTACACTCCTTTCAAATGGGTCTATATGAGTACCCTTTATTAGTGGATTAGTAATCACTAGTTTAGTAGGAGCCTAGGAGGATAGGTGAATCCTGTCTCCTTGTTTTCCACTTTGACTTCCACGGTACAATGGGTGTTTAGAAATGACTTTTGCCACTGGATCATAATGAATTATTATAGGCACATGTTTGACCTCGCTAGTGGCATTTTTACTAAGAAAGCGCCTTAAGAATATCTCTTCTCTTGAAACATGAAATAGTACAATATATTCTAATTCCATAGTGGAGTTGCTTCTTACTTCCCCTTGGTCACATGCCCAGCAAAGCTAAATACCCATCTTGGTGTGAATCTATATTCATCAACTTCTTCCAAATTAGCATCAGTAATGCGTCCGAGGATTAGATCCTCAGTGCCATAGCATTTATCAGAATGGCAAAATAGGATCGTGTAGCCGACCCTAATAGTTGGGATAAGGCTCTGGTGATGATGATGATGATGATGATTGGTAGCCTTAAGATATCCAATTACCTTCTTACAAATTCCCAATACTCCATTCCAATATTGCCATATATAGGCTAGCAACTCCTATTGTATAAACTATATCGGGTTTAACACAATTCATTAAATAATTAAGAGATCCTACAGTTTTCATCGGGTCTAAAATACTCATCATTAGCAAATGACCTATTCATTCTATTATCAAGATTAAGTTCGTACATGTTACCAACCAACCTTGATGGTGCCTTCTCCAAGAATATTTATGATAGACGAGCTGTCCATATAAAGCTTGCTGGCTTCCTCACTCTCCTCTTTGAACTCTATGATGTTGTTGTTCTTGGTGTTCATGATGTGCCAAGTAGCTCTTGAGTCCAACCACCATTCATAGGGGAGTTCACCTTCAGGGAGTCTTCAACAACACAAGCTATTAGTTTATTCATCATCTTTCTTTTTCTTTTTTTTGAATAAGTTGATTTTTGTATTAATGTCTAAACAGTTACAATCAAAGACTAGGCACAAAATATAGGCAAACCCAAAGAATGGGTGCCTTGTACAAAAGGCCCATGGGGCGCCCAGAAAATGCTCTACACCAATGATGATAAAAGGTGGGAAGGAAGCTTAGGAAATGCTTGCGGTCCCCTAGGGGGTGTTGAGGATAGCTCTTGCCCTTGCTAGTGCATCAACAACGTGATTGGCTTCCCTATGGATGTGACTCCAGGAGACCCTAGTAGTGCTGCAAATGTGAGCTATCTCCGCAAAAATGTGGTCTAGTCTCTACGCTCATGGGGCTACTCCAGAGGCCCCAATAATGGTGTTTCTAGAGTCTCCCTCAACCATTAACCGAGTACTCCATTCTGTGTCAAATCTACAAAGCCCTTCAAGAAGGGCAACAGCCTCCACAATAGTGGAGTCTGCAAAACCAATCGGCGAGGAGAAAGATAGGATGTTGAGACCTTCGGAATCTCAAAAAATGCCTCCAACACTTGAGGGGCCCAGGTTGCCAAGCGAGCAACCATCGAGGTTCAATTTGATATCCCC